ACCCCTTAAAGGATTCAGGTCGACTTAACCTGTAACCCTGTATATATACAGGGTTACTGGTAACTCGACGTATTCCTTGCAGGACGTCACAGTAGGGTTAAAATGCAGCAAATTAGGCCACCAAATGTTCTACCGAAGTTCAGTAGTTTTTGAGTTATTTAGATTTTAAGGTTTTTATGAAAAAAACCCAGATTAAATCATTTGAAGCCAATTCAAAAATGATTTACAGCGGGACAGTGCTGAAATTTAAGTTAATATCATAGTTGATGACGTAGCAGATCTTTGTAAATAATTAAAAGTTCAAAAATGCTTTTGTGAAATGCGTTACTGTTCTGTGCGCTCTAGGTTAGCGTTTGTTTATTTGCCAATGTGAATACGTAATATGAAAATTCAAAATTTTTGAGTTCTAACAATATACGTATAATTAAAAAGCCGCTGTAAAGTAAGTTCGAATCCGGCCTCGCATCTCTGAGTCTTTCGGAATTTATATACAAAATATAATTTGAAATTTACATAGTAAATTACAGCGGCTTTTTAATTATACGTATATTGTTAGAACTCAAAAATTTTGAATTTTCATATTACGTATTCACATTGGCAAATAAACAAACGCTAACCTAGAGCGCACAGAACAGTAACGCATTCCACAAAAGCGGTAGCAGTTACCACATAATCATATAAAAAGGCTACCTATATGGTCTGCTTTCATCTGTTTCAAATGCTGTTCGAAACATTACCTTCGTCATTAATTTTTAAATTGACGGCGAAGAGAATTTTATTAAAATTGATTTATACAGCGTTTACATTATGGAAACAATATTATGCTAATACAAACTGCTTCTTGCTACCTTGGATGGTTGCTGGCTAGTCATAACATATTGTTTGTGGAACTAAAATTAAGCTTTTACTTTTACAACTTTACAAAAACTACATAATATATTCTTAGAGAAAGTGTCAATACGTTCAGAACCGTGATTGTATTGTGCACGTTGAAACATGTAATAGACTACTATTCTAGAAACACAGACGTGTATGAACAAACGTATAATTTGCCTCTGTGGCCGAACGGTTACATGCTGGTTTGCCACGCCGAGGTCTCGGGTTAGTTTCCGGAGCAGTGAGAAACATTTGTATGGTCTACATTTATTTCTCTCGCGAGTTTGAGTGTAATTTGTAGTTGTCTATGTTTGTGTCCTTAGTGAACATGATAGCGGAAGGGGGGGCATAACGGGGTCGCGAGGCGCAACGGGGCCACTCACAGATCTAAGTAGCTAAATATGCTAGCAGTATACTGCTTTGCGAATAAGCGACTATCTTCAAACGGCGGCCAGCGCGAAAGTGATTGGAAGGGAGACTGCATGCGTTCGTTTTTTACGAGAAAAAACCATTTATGGTCACGTTTCATCTAATTTTGTGTTACCACAAATACACATAAAAAAAGGAAGGACTTCATCAAGGAAGTACGGGGCATTATGGGGTACCCCATCGTGGCCCGTAGCCCTGTCCCCGTTATGCCGTCACGCCTAGTATTATTTTAATTTAATAATATTGAAAACAAATCGTAACATACATTAATTTAAATGAGAATATATTAATAAGGAACATAACTACAAAATAACAAAAACAAACAAAAGTATCAACTTGATCATAATAGGCGCTCAAAGGCTTCATAAAACCAATATCCAAAGGCTGGAGCCTGTGCGTGCATTGTGGGGGTAAGCAAAGTAACAGTTTCAGTGCCACTTACAGACTTAAATCACAACAGTCACCACTGCGTCTGTCACTGGGACAAAGTTGACAATATAACTGTAATTTCACCAGCACGCTGCAAAAACCCCATAATGCCCCGTTTTTAGTACCCCGTACTGCCCCTACCCTGGGGCATAATGGGGTTTTCTTAGGGTTCTAGCATAATTTAAAAAAATATGCTAGTTGATTAATTTCTTAACCGAAGAATATGGCAATTATTCTTTAATAAATTTTATACCTTTATTGGAGTTTCCCTTAACGTCCCCGTTATGCCTATGCCTATGTATAACCTATGGCACTTTACAATACACAAATAAAAAAGCGCAAGATACGATGACGTATGCACGAGGCAGTAAAACGTGTATTTGAGAAAAATCCCTTTGTAAGTGACATCAATAATAAGTTCCAAAGAGTACGTTCCTGAAAATTTATGATTACAGTTATGAAACCTTTGTATAAGAAAGGCAATAAAGAGCTTTTGGAATCATATAGGCCGAGCTGCAGGTATTGCTGTTCTTTTTTCCAAAAGTGTTCAAGAAAATTATTTATGGCATTTCGTATGGTTACTTCGAGAGCAATGAAATTCAATTTTTCTATTTTTAACAGAAAAAGATGTTTTTAGAAAGATACATTGTATTTACAATAGTTATTTTATTGAATAACTCGATTTGTATCTCAGTGGGTAAAGACGGTGGCCACGCTGTGGTAACAAACGCTGGTTCAAGTCTAGTCAGGTCGAAGGAATGTTTCCTTCTGTTAGGAAATGAAACTATTTTTCCGGATTTAAATCGCGTATATTTGTTTTTTCAAACAAACCGACGTTTCGGGCCCTTTACAGGTCCCATGGTCACGGTTGACTGAACAAATATACGCGATTTAAATCCGGAAAAATAGTTTCATTTCCTATGTGTAACAATCGCGAAAACCTAAGAACTTTCCTTCTGTTGTTCGATCTTTGTATCGATAATTATAACAATGTAAATAATTTAGCTGTATATTTATCGAGTTATTAGGTTGGACTGGAAATGAAACTATTGTTATGGATCTACAATGCTAAGTTTAGTAGCTGTAGAGCTGGTATAGAGCGGTAGAGGGAAGTAATGCCACCTTACCTACTTGGTACCTTACCTATTTCTGCTGCCAAGCCATAATGTGAGCATTACTGCCTTCCGGTTCTGTAAGGTGGGGGTGCTGGTGAAATTACAGGCACAGGAGACTTGTCAACTTATGTTTTTATTTATTTAATACAAACAAGGCATATAAGAGAACGCAATACAATTTCTCACCAAACTGGGAAAGTGGTTTGTTGGCAAGGTTACACTCACAATCAGAAAACTATAGTATATCTTTTTTGTAGCAGGAGAGCTCCTTGCGAAAGAGTTGTTCCAGGGTAGTACTGCCACCTTACTTACGTCTGCCGCCAAGCAGTAATGTCCGCATTACTGTGTTCCAATTTTGAAGGGTAATGGTGAATGGACTTGTCAACTTATGTCTCAGGGTGACTGGCACAGTGGTAGTGCCCATCAGATCTTTGCAATTCAAAGCTCTTAGTAGTACTGTAACTATTGTGAACAGGCGTGTACCTTACCATCAGGTGCGCGACTTGTTCGTCCCGTCACTTGACGTTATAAACAAAAATACCTAGTACGAGTACATTTAACAAAACCAGTGTAGAATATAGTAAATTTACATGCTTTCAAGAAGTATAAATTTTAATTTTTTCTTCAATGTGAATTTACTTCTTAATGTCTCAGGGTGATGGGTGCAGTTGCAGTACGTTTTAAAGCTCTAAGTGGCATTGCAACTGTTATGGTCAGACGTGTCGCTTCCCACCAGGCCCACGACTTGTTTGTCCTCTCACTTGGTATTAAAAAGAAGTATAATATACATATTGTATAAAATAACAAATCAATATTAAGACAACAAAACTGAAAATAATATTGTTTCCATTGCACCCGTGTAACTATTTTAAGATTGCTAAATTTGACATAAGAACAATATTACTTTAATGTTAAAGTCGCGTCATAGTACGAACTGAGTGAATGAATAGTCGCAAAGCTGCCAAAAACATCATAGTTTTAACATTATAATAACGAAAAGTCAACGTAAGGTTAAAGTAATATTGTTTTAAGAGATTGTGGTAAGTTCCCTGTACGACTGAGATCCGAAAAAATAGTTTCATTAACAATGTGTAGCAATGCGAAAACTTAAACATTCCAGATGCCTATAAATAAATAAATAAATAACGCACACACTCAACATAGCCCCGCACTAGGGAAACCCTGTGTCGCGGGTGCCATGGACACACACATAGACAACCACAAATTACACCCAAACTCACGAGACAAATAACTGTAGGCCATACAACTATTTCTCTCGGCCTGGGAATCGAACCTGGGACCTCTGCGTGGTAGTCCGGCATGGTAACCGTTCGGCCACGGAGGCAGTTATATAAGTAAAGATAAGTATCCTATTAACCTGTGGCTTATAGTGCTTCGCAGACGAGAGTTTCGTTCCATATAGCACAAAATATGAAATGGAACAGCTAAAAACTAAATTCAAATGAATTTTAAATTCACAAAAGCAGCTTTTAAGACAAACGTGGAGATCCACTTGGAGACACGGTTATAAGAAAATTCCTAGGTATATCGTCTATTATAAAATAAAGTAGAAAGCGTAACTTGAAAGTATTTGCACTTATCTTAATAGCCACAAATATACAGAATATGAATATGCACAAATATGAATGAAATGTATAACTGATGAAGTCGTAAAAAAGGAAATATAATAAGCTGCGCTCTCCAAAGTCAAAACTAATTGAAATCAATGAGCTCAAACGCGATAGTTCTACTGTTATTAGCAGTCGGTCACAGTATCAGATCAAGACTACCATAAATACCGTTGTAATGTAATCGGATTTTCATAGTATGTAATATATAAATATTCATTTTATAACTGAGATTCCTATACTAACTGGGAAAAGCGCCGATGACCTTTAAACGGCTGAACAGATCGCCATCCCCGGAGAACAAAATGATAATCGCAACAAAGTAATATTTCAGGAAAAATAAAACACATGTTTTCATTGATAAGTTCTTAAATACTGAACGTTAGGTAGATTAATAGTTAGCTTTAAGGGAAGCATATTTTTGTGCATTCTATGTTATAAACGAAACAGCCGTAAGTTAAGCCAAAATGGATATATTCCAATAATAAATAATTTGTGAAAATCAATCATCAAGTGGGATTTATATTGTGGATTATTCTCGTTGTGTCTGAGCCGAAAACAAGTATTGTACCTTTGACTTATCATGTTATTCTACGGGTATATGATAATCAACCTTTGCTTTATTTTTCTTTATTATACGAACAGCCCGAACAGTTTGAAACGGGAATAAAATGTGATAACTGCGCGTATCGTTATTTCGCGGAATTATTTTTACGAGAACATAACTCTATTGTCATTTGTCATATTAAGAAACGTAACTCATTTAGTTTATTATTGTCATGTAACCTTATTCTTGTGCACTTGGGCATGGGTAGAAACTTGTTATTCCGTAACTGCTTAAAATCACGAAAAATATTGAAAAGATGTATTGTACCTAAAGATCTTAAATATGATATAGCACTAAAATTGTGGTAATGGCAGTTATCTTTGTGTTCTCCGGGGATGGCGCGATGTTCATCAAACATAGCAAAGAACCATTTCGATTAATATCGAGTTCTTAGGTTTTCGCGATTGCTACATCACAAATTCGCAACAAGTGCGTTCAGATGGGCGTTCGAGGTTTGCGCGTACATTGTGTCTTGTGTTCTATGTATCCAACACAAGACACACGTTTACGTTGAACGCCTACCTGGGACGCACCACCGGCACCGTTCCAAATTTGCGGCCTTACACATAGGAAATTAAAATATTTTTTCTGATCTAAATGGCGTATATTTGTTTCTTTCAAACAAACCAACATTTCGCCGTGACCATGGCCCCAATTACCATTCCGATTAAATTAGTCTTCAAATAATAAAAAAATAAATAAACGTTTTGAGATCAGTCCATCTATTTATGAACTACGATGCCACGAGATATTCTCTCTCCTCTCTTTTTGCGTCAGAGGTTAAAAAGTAAAAAAATATAATATAGTAAACGCGGTACAACCAACTCACAGAAAATCCATCGCCACCATTGCCAAGGAAACTTTGAGAGACGACTTTATAATATTTGTCGAGTTGCAGCGGCTCGTATCTGGGGATGTCACATTCGATGCACCGCACGGAGACGCTGACAACCCGTTGGGAAACGGGCCGGGAACCGTCGAAGATAGGTCGCAAACCTGACATTTATTCAAATGGTTATTGTGTGAAGATGGAAATCTCGCAAAAGTTGCATTAGATTCAAAAGAGAGTGTCGTGGATTAAGGAAGATATCAGTAAAGTTCTTCTTGATATTGGTCATAATGATATTGGACTTAGGGTCTATTTTATATTAGATCATATTCAAGATTTTCATAATTATTACAGAAAATTCTAATGGAACTCTTATTGACACATAAAAAGGCAATCTAACAACAATGTGTAGTTCTTGAAGTAATAAAAACATTTATAGATATACTTAGTACTTTTCTTAATATCTAACCGACTTCAAAAAAGGAGGAGGTTCTCAATTCGACTTTATGTTCCTTTTTTTGTGTGTATGTTACGCGATAACACCGGTATTTGTGAACCGATTTTCATGATTCTTTTTTTGTTCGAAAGAGGGTACTTCCATAGTGGTCCTATTTCGTTTTGATGAAAATCATCCACCACTAAGGGTGGCTGTTCACGCATGCAGATTCATTTTTATAAACAGGGCCTAAACTTTAATTTACGAGCAATTATTTTAATGGTTGATTTTGCTATTTCTCCAATTCAAGGCGTTTTTCTCTCGATATACTTTGAGTAGTGAGAACCGATTTTTATTATCTCCAGTGTCAAGTCCTGTATAGTGGCGAACTAGGGGATATTTCAATAAAACTTAGCAAATAGACGTAATTCCACGTACTTTTGAGGTCGGATTTTTGTTATTGATTTTTAAGAAAAATATGACTTATTTTACAATTTACTCAAGATTGTTTTAGAAGTCAGTATTTACTTGAGTGAAAAAACGATTTCTATTTGTTTGTGGCTTCAAAAATGACGTTTTCAAGTGTAAAAATTGTATCTATGGAATAAATGATTATTTGACTTCGTGCTTAGTTACCTGCAATTTGCAGCATCCTTGCCCCATTGAATGGTTCATTCATAACAGAAAATTCTAGCATTTCTACGATGTGGTCACCGCGCAGTTCAAACACTTCCACGTTGTTCTCAAACGGAGTCGAAAGCAATACCGTTTCGACTGTTATTACTGAAAGGTTAAATGATTAAATGAGATTTTTAATGGTGGACTTCAACAGTACGGTAGTTGTAACCATGGTAACCATTTAATGAAACGGGGTATACGTACTTACTTACCGAGGATTGGTTTTCGAAGTGTAAGCTGATAATATGAAAAGGATAGTATGCGAGCGCATCAAATGTGGTATTTGGTATCTATAGCACTTCGTGTGCGGCATTACCAAGTTGACCGCGGACAGCGGGGAAAATGGGCGCGGAGAGCCACTTTTACACTTGGCGCACGTCTTTAGTGGGGATTTATGCAAATTTTTCAAGACTAAAGAATATCTTGAGAAACCATTTGACTCTAGAAAGAGCCATTTCGAAAAAAAATTCACTGGAGCATGTTATGGTTTTTCACGATAAAAATTTAATAAAATAAAATTTAAAACATTTACGTGGTGTTTTAAATTCAATTTTGAAACTTAAACATAATTAAAACAAAAATAATAAATATTTTAAAACAGGTCACAAATATTTTAAAACAGTTGTAAAAATCTATAACATGCTCATATTTAATAGGTACTGTAATTCTTTGTAGAAATTATTTTGGCTTAAAAACAATAACACGTTCGGGGGTATATCACACCTCTTTACAATTAGCTAGTTTCATTTCAACATTTTGTGTGTACCAGCATTTATGTTACTTAATTGAATCTGTTTCAATTACTAAATATTATTACTTATAAAACTGCGCTGGAGAGCAACAGACTATACCTATCCTTAACTAGTTATGACTTTCTCGCTTTGATCTCAGTGGATAATCTTTTATCTTAATTAATCTTGGATGTAAATAAATACATTAATGTCTAGAAAGAAACGTAATATTCTACCGTAAAAGCAAATTTTTCGTGTAAACGATTAATTTAAGAAGGAAAATCTTGGTTTTGTAAGCTTCTTTGTTTGAGAATAAAAATTTGAATATTGTATAATTACCAATTATACGAATGCTTTATTTGAGAAGGAAAATATTTGAGTAATTTGTCTTGCAGGATCATGGGAAGTAGATCGGTAAATTATAATTAATTGACATTACCACCAGGGTTCATGCTGGTTCTAACGCCTCCTTGGTTCATGATGCAAAAATGTGCGTAGCTCCAGTTATCTCCTTGTGATTTATTCATTGCCTGTGGTAAAGTAAGTCCATTTTGTATTGAACCAATTTTAACATACGCACCCCTCATGGAAGAATAGCATAAGTGGAGTTTCGTTAAAAATGTTTATGAGCAATAAACATTGGACAGAAAAAATATAACCCAAATCTTCTCCAATTCTTGTAACTCTATCGAGAAATGTCGAAAATTTTTCTGTATCTAATGACCATGCTGCACCGTAGCCTTGCTGTTACCGGCGAAGAATCGCCGGTAGTGACATCTAGTGATAGATTTTTGAAAAACATTCTCACCGCAACTCAAAACTCTTTCACTATATATCAGTAGCGGAAAGAAAGTACTGTAGTCTAGGCTCTACTCTATGAGTAGAAATACTGGCTGAATGTATATAGGTTTGTGTTTGGAATGTATTTAAAAAATAAGATAGAAAACAAGAATAAGATGTTGGAATCCTAGACTAAGATTCCAAATTGAATACACGTTTGCAGTTATATTTATGAAATAATCGTCGTTTCTCTTATAAAAGTATCTCTCGCAAAGCTACCTGAGCTACGTCTAGCCTATAGTTCCTACAAAGATCGGTGCAGCATGGTCATAGGTTCAAGTCCCACCGGGTAGAAGAAATTTTTCTATGTGTTCGATCCTTATATTAATAATCATAACAAAATTAGTGGAGGTATTTTACAAAAAAAGTCTTAATAATACAATTTTAATATTCTTTGGAATTCTGTTACTTATTCTGTTACTTTTAAATGAACACACAGTTACAAATCAACCCTTTTATGCTGGAGTGCGCGAAAGGACCCTCCCCGCACGATGTACATACCTCACTTGTATCGTACCTCTGGAGTACCTTACTCCGGTGGCCAAATCAGTTCACCACTATGGCATTATAGTATATGCAACCGATATGATAAGAAGAAGAACCCATTTATTCGTCTCACTGTTGGGCACGGGTCGCCTCTCAAGCAAGGGTTTAGTCCATAGTCCGCCACACTGGCGCAATGCGGGTTGGGGACTTCACGACAGCCCAGTTACCACGATTTCATGTTCACACCCCAGCACATCTCACTACATATTGACGTATCTTGTTGCACTGGAGGCGATTTTCGAACAAAAATGTGTAGTCTGATGTGCCGTTGTCCGTACATTAATGGCGAATCTGAATTCTATTTACTAGGCAACAACATTTAAATTCATCTGAATAATACAAATGCGCTGTCGCCACGTAGATTAAAGTCAAGTCAGTCTCGCCTGCCCGCCCGGGATGCTCATTAAAGTTAAAACGTAAAAGCTAAATAAATAGGGCGTATTTTGCTATGACAGTTAGACGCACGCGGTCTCCGCGCGGCGGCAACGCGGTATCCGCGCGGCAGCCGCGCGGGGTGAGCGCAATGAAATTCGGGTCGAATAAATGAGCCTACAACGGCAATATTATTATGTTGTCATTTTTAATGAGCCTTATAATAATTTGAAATTCTCACCGCATGCATGAAAGCGTCACATATGAAACTGCCAAGGTTGCATTCTTGGCAAGCACAGTCCGAAGACAAATGGACCAAGGACGAGCCCACTTCCCTCGACGCTAGCTCTTCAATCTCGGGCAGGTATTGGTTAATTTTTTCCAAGACATCTTCAGCTGCAACGAAATAAACAGGATTATTTTTAAAATACTACCTCCCAGGACTATATTACTAATAAGAGGTGGGCGTTTCAATGAAAAGCATTTAAAAAGTTTGCTTTTTAAAATAAGCACATAACGCTTAAATTGAAAAGCACGCTTTTCAATTTAAGCGTGCTTTTTAATTTAAGCGTAAGCGTTAATAACGTTTTGTTTCAAGTTCCGCTATTTGTGTTTCCCAAACAAATGAATTCATCAATGTGAATAAATAATTTTATAAATAAAAATAAAAGTCGTGTTTTACAAATAAACTTACTTATCTTAAAACCTTAGTTTGCTTTTCGCTATCGACACAACGTTGTAAGCTTTTTTTAATGGAAAAGTCTATGCGCTTTAACGTTTTTCTAAACGATTTTGTAAGCTTTAAACTAAAAAGCGTTTAAGTGAAAAGCGTTTAAAAATCACGCTTTTTTTTAAAAACGAACTACGTTTTAACGTTTAAGAGATAAACAATTTTCCCCATCTCTAATTACTGACATCACATATAAGAACTTTTGTTCCATGACTTAATAATCAGAGTTTACTGTCGTACAAAAATAAAATTATTTAAGAGATCGCTCTAAGCAGTGGCGACTCTGCGCGGTTACAAAAGTATGCGCTAGCTTAAACACCAGTCCGATGCAAAACGCAGGCGCGGGAATGGGGTTTCAAAAAAATGTCAGAAAGTACAACAAAAACTTGTAAAGTTTATTTTTGGTAAAATTATAAAGTTTTTTAATAAACACAATAACCAATAACCATGCATTTTTAAGCGTCAAAGTATCAGGACTTTAAAAAAATTTACTTCAAGCCTAGGACGCCTAGTCGCGCCAGAATTGAATGGAGTGGGAAACTGGTGGTTTCCCACTCCTTAAACCTTGAAACCTTGTTAAACCTTGCCTCCTAAGGTTCCAGCTAATGAAATATAGTTTATTGGCTTTTAATGCAAACAATTTCCGATAAAATTATCTTTGTTTAAAATATCGACACTGTAAATTAGGCCTTGAGACCTAAAACACAAATCTCTGATTTAGTTTAGGCTCCAGCTTTCCACGAAATATCTACTCTGTTTCGTAAATTTTTTAGTAAATACCTAGCGAGGCGTGCATAGAACTTGCTCCCACCGGCTTGCCTAAAATTTTCCACGTGTCATCAAATTTAAATATTTTTAAAATGTTTTTTATACATTTTGAAGAAAAATTAACCAGTGAAATAAAGTGTACTAGTCTCTGCTGTGTTGATAACTTTGTTAAGGCAAGTGCTTTTTGTTTTTTGTTTTTCTCCGGCTTTACTAAAGACAATTTTCACGCCTGGCTACTGGTATCTAGTTTTATTACTTTGTGGAAAGAGAAATAAGTACAGAGGCATGAGTGTCTCCTCTCCTGACCTTCTCAGGCGAAGGTTTTTAGGCCTTACTCTGCCACGCTGGCGCAGTGAGGTTTGGGCACGTTACACGTTTGCCCAGGATTGTGAAGCTTTCGTCGACGTACATGTTTCAACACGATGTGTTCCTTCATCGAAAAGTTCGTGGTAGACTTCATATATTACATTTCGCACACAAAGTGAGACGTGCGAACCCGGAGTGAAACCCACGGCCACTGTTTGAGAGGCACTAACTAGGTCCGAACCATTAGGCTGCCCCGGTTTCAATATATTTACTTAAGAGGGAGCAGAGGAAAAATTCCGAATCTTCGATTTGATTTTAGAGGGATATATCCACTTAAAAGTTAAAAATAAAATATTGTATGAGTAACTACACGACATATTCAAGCATAGACATTAATCAGAAACATAAAACAATAAAGTTTCCTCAATAGATAAAAATCACGAAATAACCTCTAATTTTCACATTTTTTCGATTTATCATCGAAATGCTATAGGTTATTAGGACAAAAATTAGATAATTAATTATATTTATGCATGATCGACAATTGTCACTACGGATTTTTTTTTAATCCCTTTAGTTTTAGAGTTATTCCGCTAAAACGAATTTGGTACTTTTAATGTGCAAAATTCAACATCTCCTGTCGCATGTCACGCGTACTTCAGGCATATATTTGTTTCACAAATTTGGGCGGAGCCAACGTCAAAATTTTTTGGCACGAGAGCTCTTAACATAAAAAAGATAAACCACAGTTATATCTTTCTACATTTTATATAATCTACTTGTTGAAACTCTCGAGAGCAATAACTAATATTATTATAATAATTATGTTAAAGATATTAGTAAAAATACAATATACTTCGCATCTCAGTACACTTACAATAACAATTTTTCTTCATAAACTCAACAAAAAATGAGTATTCCCTTCATAAGAAATAGGCCATTACCATTAATAATGTAATGAGATTGCTTTTGAAATATGTTATTATATCGAGTTTTTAGGTTTAAAATGTACGACCGTAATTTTAGCATTGATTAAAGAATTTAACAGTTCCTCAAAATATTCTCATTTGAGGTTCAAAAGTTTTAAGAGACGAGCTACCTTGTTCGATTTCATTTCCAATGTAATGAGGGTGTCCCCCCCAACTCAGAAGATTGCCAGCGTCGTCAAAGAAAAGCTTGATTTCGCCAAGGTACTGTGTGTGTGCCGCTGCCTGCACTATTAGCACCTGTAAATAAAAGCCTATACGTAAGGGCGCCTCCAGTGTCGCGACTGTAGCGCTTCAGTCATTTTTAGTTCACTAATTGTGACTGCAAAAGTGGCGCGCGCCTGTTACGATTGTGGCACTGCAACTGCTGTGCTTCTAAAGGATTTCCATTCAAGGCGGGTAGATTTTGACTGTTCATAGCGGACTGATCAAAAAAAGACAAATACAGCGTCGAGAATATTATAAAAAAATATTATCAAAATGTTTCTGAACACTCTCACGGGTGTTGGCTGACGGTTTACTGAACCGGTCGACTCAAATTTGGCCATCAAACGCTAAATCGTCACTGGGAAGGACGACCACGTAAATCGTAAATGGGCGCAAAGTGCGCATCGATACCACAATGGAACACCCATTTTGATAATAAATTTTAACCATTTGCATGTGTTTCTCTACTCTGTAACTTGTCATGATGATTTGTATTTAGTGACTGAAAAATAACCAACAGATTTGACAAAATCAACCTCATCACACGGCCAATATGAACTGTGAAAATCTACCCGACCTTAAATGGAAAATCCTTTGAATATTGTATGAAAACTAGTAGTAATTAGTGGCGCTGCTGCACCGCCACTGTAGCGCCCCTGCAGTGCTTCTATAAGCATCTAATTTGAAGCCAGAGTCAAACACGAAGAGTAACAGATTAATTAGTTCATGATCTCAGGTGACGGGAAGAACATTTCGTGGTTATTAAATCGAAGAAATCTGAGAAGCATTGACACGGCACTGTCATCTCACGTGCTTGTAATTTCACTAGTACCTTTTAAATCCGGAACGCAGAAATGCTCACATTATTGCTTGGCGGCAGAAACGGGCATGGGTCGAAATAGGTTATTACGTAAATTCATAAAGTTAGTAAATTAGTAGGCAGTACACATAATTTAAAAAAGTAGACTTTAAAAGGACTTACAGATCTTGTCTCTAGTTCTACTACTACAGGATATGGCCCTCGTGGAGTGAAACCGCTTTCTTCTGGAGGTTCACCGTTATACAAAAGTGTGTGGCTATGACCACCGACAATTATATCTACGTAAGGTCCTGCATGCTGTGCTATTTCTCTAAGAACAAAAAATATAAATAAGCTCTAGCACTATAATCTATTACCGAATCGATGGCGATGAGTAATAGTATATTATTGCAGAGGCCGGGATGGAAGGGATTACTGGACGAGTATGAGTTACAAGGACCAGCACTAGCGAGGCCTAGTGTTAATACGAGTCAAGTAATCCCCGTTCGACGCATGTATAGATTTTTTCTCAAACAATGTGAGGAAATAATAAAAGACTAAAGAGAGTTTTTGTTGGTAATACGGAGGGTATTTATTTAGCAATGCAGAATAATAATTTTTATTTATAAAAACTTGTATTTAAACTGAATCCTTTTCTATTTTGCGAAACCAAATAGCCACCATTTTGCGGAAGGAGGAGCGCATCGCGTGAGTGGTTAAAGTCGAGTATCGTGTTTAGGTCACGAGGCTTAGCCGAGTGGCCTAAGTAATAGGTACACGACTCAAAGACCTAATTATGTAATGATTGCGTACAAACGTACGTTTTTCTGCGAGTAAATTAAAATAATGTAACACAAATTGAAAGATTATGTTTTGGTAACATTTCACGACATTAAACTCAAACGAAAACCGAACAAATGCTACAAAACAAAGAGATTAGAATAGAAGTGTCCGTGATTGGCTAAGTACCGCTTATATTGTAACCAATCCGTAGAGCGTTTGTTGAGTACCGTCATATTTGACATTTGATATTTAATGATTTTAAATAGTTGTTTTTTGCCACATGGTTACGCCTTTGTACCTGTTATGTAACTTTTTTTTTAGATATTATTTCATAAAATAATTAGAATTTTAATAATGTCACAAATAATATAATAATAATAACGCACACACTCAACATAGCTCCGCACTAGGGAAACCCTGTGTCGCGGGTGCCATGGACACACACATAGACAAGCATAAATTACACCCAAACTCACGAGAGAAATAAATGTGGCCTACATATATTTCTCCTGGCCCGGGAATCGAACCTGGGACCTCTGCGTGGCAGTCCGACATTGTAACCGTTCGGCTACGGTGGCAGTTAATACAAATACAGTGTGACATTATTCTGTTCACGAACACAGTGACTCGTTTAGGATACGATATTCATTTTCAATTTTTCAGTTTAGTAACGAGTACCTTAGACATGTTTGTGATAAGGTTTTTGAAATTATAATTGATAGGTTAACGTACAGGTGTACCACGAAATACGAAGCTACGATCATCGTTTTAGCTTCGTATCGGATCGGAGGCTATCACGAAACGGGTACGAAGATCGAGATTTGACATAAGTCCTTACTCCGAAACATCAAATGACAGCTTTCGCATTGAATGTTGTATCGTAAAACTGACTTACGTAGTACGCATAAGCTCCATTGGAGACGCAGTCATGTGGTATCGTGTTTCGATCAGATGACCAGGAGTAGAAAAAATATGACATTTTGTGTTTTTAGCGTTGGAATATATAGTTTTGTTAAAAGTATTAATCAATAAGGTTCAATTGGCAACAGTTACCAAGAAATATATTATTAAAGCCCGTTGGCATGATTCGTGGTATTCCTTACTGATCAGAAAATCGATACCTTTATCGTACATTGAGGCAGAAATCAATACAGGCAAAGCCCACAGGCTACGAATAGACAAAACTGCCCTGGCAATATCAACCTTGCGCTGTGCCATTGAAGCACAGGCTGGTGTAATATCGGATTTTATCAACATAGCAACATGGTAACTTTATTATCTATACTTTGGTCACCTTAAATAAATAAACAAAAATACCTTTCTCCACTAAACACATGAATAGCAAATATTGTTGACTAATACAAAGTACAATTAAGAAATGTGGACTAAAAGGCTAAAGACTCGAAGAAGAAGAAGAAAAATAAATTATGAAATAAAGCCAGTGTCCCTGTAGCTCGACCCAAGCAAAATGGACCGTATTAGTACAGGAAAATTCTGAATTTGAGCTGAGGTAGTATAAATTCTTAAATGAGGGAAAGCTAATAACTAAAGACGAAGATCATGACTTAAGCTAACGTCGGCTAAATTCGTAAATCTCGTGACCTGCATAAATGTGAACTTTTGAGTAGGCACAAAAAACATAATTACTAGAAAGAGTTAAAGGACAATCTATTATTATAATATCTTTTTCTCAAACATGCTCGGAAATGTTTGTATTACTTTCAAAAAACGAACACCAAGCCAAGGTCTGCAGAGTAGGTATGAAAATCCAATACTCTCCACTTCTCTAAATATTTAAAACTAGCTAGTAATAATGAACAACGTAAAAAGGCAAAAGAAAAACTCATGCAGTCAAATACTAAGTGTTCGTAATTGCGACATTTAAAAATACCTACCCATACCGCTTACTTAAAAAAAATGAAAATGGCGGTAACACTCAAATTAAACTGTTTTGGTATTCTTTTCTCGTCTTTTTTGTATTTTGGTCACGAAAATGAGTGCTAGTGTGAAGAGCTTATCGAAAATGCAGTAGGCACACGTTCAAACACATCATCAGAAGTTTAGCAGATTACTATTAATGTGCTTATAAAAACAATATCATTTTCTTTTACCAATTGTTTAATATTTTTTTGTACTTTTTGTATTAAACATCTTCCTCTCTTCAGTATTTTATTATATCCTTACATTGTTTGAGAAAAATTCCATATATGTCTCAGCGGGAACGGGGACTGCTTGACTCGTATTAATACAAGGCCTCGCTGGCGCTCGTCCTTGTAACTCATACTCGTCCAGCAACCCTTACTTCCCGGCTTCTGCAATAATGTACTATATTTTGTAATAATGAAAATGTTTACAAATTACATTTTAAGCTTTGATTGCGTTTAAAGTTTAACACTGACAAACGTAACTGGTTTGACGATCCGTATTTGTCTCCTTGAATGGTTTCATATTCATATTCACATTTACACAGATGACGTCTGAAATCTTTGACACAATACAATTTGGATCCAAGTCAGGCAAACAAATTGAATTCAAAACTCTATACGTCACACGTGAAGAGGGTGTAAGTGCTAGCGTAATAGAGATTTGCTACCGATTAACCGTCGCAGTTCATCCATTATATAGTCAAGGTCCCTAAATTAAAGACGAAAAGGGTCAAATCCCGTGTAAAGTGCCAAGTACTAAATTAGGAGGTCCAACCTTGTAAAAGAACGGAATATCTTCTAGAATTACAATTTTTTTTATTGCAAATGTACCTGCTTTTGTTTGACCACTACTTAGTCCTGCAGCATAGATAGGTTCTACAATTAGTGATGAAAGGAACTTAGAATTCTAAGGCCTATTAAAAAGATTCCATTTTACAGATCTCGAAATCCACTCTAAAATGGAGATTTGAGCTTTTATTAATACGGCTGAGTCGTTATACTTGTACTGCTTTTAAGACTCGCTTCTGAGTCGTCCACGATATTCAAAAACAGCTCAAGCTTTTAGGCTAATATGCAATAAAGCTATGCCTCTTTAAGTCTTATTGAACCCGAATTATATATATAAATGAAGTAAAAGTAAGTAAGTAGTATGTTGTATATAATCGTGAATGTTTATAATATAAACTATTACATTTTTTATGGAGTACTGCTGCCACCTTTGGGATGGCTCTGCTACATACCAACTGGCTTCCTTGGATTCAATTAACAATAGTGTCAAGTGGAGGTGACTCGGAATTAGAAGAGGCGAAACGTGAATACTGCACTAGAGTTACCTGCTTATCGGTACTTTACAGGATATATCACGGAGAATGTGCGATGGAATTACATGATTTAATTCTGCCTTCCCTTTTCCATCACCGGGGGACTAGGCGTAGGCTTGGGTTCCACCCCTATGTTGTGGATATTCCAAAGATTCGCACGAAACGTTACGCTTCCACATTAATATGGCGAACGGTTGGTTTAATGGGAACTGGGGCCATTTTCAATGCGACAGTGAATAGGCAGTATTTAGATGTGCATGCTCCATCGCCGACCTCATCGTCACTTTCGATCAGGTGTGATGGAGGTCAAATGTGCAGTTTTATTTCGTTAAATATATCGACTCATCCGTAGAACAAAGATCTATGTGCAAAATTACTTGTTCTCAGGATATGGAAGTATATTTAGTTAGATTTTCTTCGCTGTGAATGTCAGACCGACCGTTGTTCGATTTTATATTTTCGAAACGAAATGAGATACATAAATTGTCAAAACACCTTTACATAGAACTTAGTTTGAATAACGAAATTACTCTCGTAACGCACTTATTCTCCTTTCGCTCAATAATCACATCGGACTCTGTTCTTCGGATGAGTCGATATATATATTGTACCCTATGGTGTATGTATTACGTTCATTTAATTTGTATCTGGTTGTAGGAATATTAGAATGACAGTAACAAAGGACAAGTCGTAGCTCTTATCTTGGTAAAGTTTCTTTACGTGGCACAATGAAAATAAATATACTTCTTCAGGGGTTCCACCTTTATAAAGCCCCAAGAAAAAAAACTACCGCTGACTTGAGAACAAAGGTAAATAGTTCTAATGATTATTCTGACTGATTAATTTAATAAAAGTATTTTAATTTCCTAAATGTAAATTAAACAGATTCCCGACGACATACGACTAATTACTCGCGACTGCTGGGAATATATATGGTGCCAGTCAATTACGTTCTATAAACCTTTTAAGTAATGACTTACATTTTTATTCCTCAGGTTAAAAGACTTCAACTCAAAATAGTCTTCACTTATTGTCTTATAACTCAAGACTTATGGGTTAAAAGACTAGTCTAGTCGTGAGGCGTTAAAAATTAGTCGGGTTTTTAATAGGCCTTAAAAGACTAAGGCTCTTTCATCACTACTTTCAATGGAACGAGCTCATCAAGAAGATGCCTATTCAGAAGCACCATAAAGACAACTTTAAGAAAAGATTTCTTTTTAAATTCTAATTCCGTAATTACATTAGTTATTACGATGACTGTTTCTTTGGAGAAATCCAGTGTCTGGTGGTTAGATATTGTA